CGTACGCCAAAGCACCTGGTTGAGCTATATCAAGCTTCCCTGAAGAAGACAGAGAAAAATGCTGAAGCAAATTTTATTTCTGAAGATAATTTAGACTTCATGCATTTGGATGTAGCTGATTACTTTGCACTCCCAGAAGGAGAAACAAGTCATGTGATCGGTAGTGAATCTGTAGAGATGTAAATATTTTAATTTTTGTTATTTGTAGTAGATAGTATGGTTATGTAATTGTTGTACATAAATAAAAGTTATGCTTTGATAATAATGTTTACTATCATATTTATTTTGTTTATGTCATTTTGAAGAATATTGATAATCCTCAAATTATGTTTGGATCAAAGACCAATCATGAAGATATTTGTGTAGTTGATAGTGGAACAACTCATGCCATATTCAAAGATCAGAAATACTTTTCTTATTTACATAAAGAAAAAATAAATGTTTCTACAATTTCTGGTAATATCAGTTTGATTGAAGGCTCCGGAAGAGCTATTGTATTTNCTAGGATTTTTCCCACGGGGTTTCTCCTAGTAAGGTTTTAACGAGGCACATTATCTTTTAATGAACATCCAAGGAAGAGTGTTATGAATATATTATATTATGGATGTTCATTTAGTACTCCGTTGTAAATAAGCTTCCTCAAGAAGTTTATCCATATGAGACTCCGCATAAATACATTTATCTATTTAGTACTCTATTGGAAATAAGCCTCCTGAAGAAGCTTATCCTTTTGGTACTCCGTTATGGATAAATATTACCTATGATAGAAGATTATCTAAATCTGGCACAACAATTTAGAGCAGCAGCTTACAAGCAGCTTACACAGCAGCTTACAAGCAGCATACACAACAACTTCCTTTCTTCTATAAATAGAGGAGAATTCAGTTCATTATGTACATAAGTTTGAAGTCAGAATAATATATCAGTTTCTCTCTATACTTGTCTTTATTTTACGGTCTTTATTTTATAACAAAATCAAATTATTTTCAAATATAAAAGAATGGGTTATTTTTAGATGAAAAATGAAACATTTATGTACCATGGAACATAAGGGGTAACATTTTGTTACCCGTATATATAGTGATGGATGATGTTCTTTTCATATTTTCTATTTTACTCACAATTAGACATACCTATTTAGTGTACTTTTTAATGATTGATCACAGGAACGTAATACTCATAGCTATGTTTTGGCTTGGGGGATCGAGCTCGATTTACTTGCATTTTAGCTTGAGTTGACCGTATATTTGAATGCATTACAATGCTTATGAAGTGAAGTTAATCGTATTATAAAAATGCATATATATTATTGATATGCATATGATATGAACTCTGGATCATATTTTTCTTATGAATTGAATAGAGTATGTTATGTCTTTACTAAAACTGTATGTCGAAAGACTTGTCCCAATATTTTGCGGGGCGTCTATGAGATTTACTAAGTGCATTATGTATTCACGTCTTCGTTATAGTATATTTTTCTTTGAGATATAGGTTGCAGTGCGATGGCGTTATGTGCTAGGGGCATTGATTTTCTTCCCGTGAACCTCACGTATGAGTTCAATTTGTGATATATATGTCATCATCTTATTCTATTTTATATAGCTCAAAAAATATCTCTAGAAATTCCATGATGTTCCAATGGGAGTTGTGTTTACCCTAAAAATGGATAACAATTGAATTTATATGTGATTTAAGGATACGCGATTTCACTTGGCACAAACTGAGAAATATATAAATTGATATTAGAAATTAGTTGTAAAGAAAAATAAAGCAAACCAAATGAGATGTGCAGCTTTGGCCATCGAGACAAGTTTTCCTCGAACCAAAGGAATGAGCAGTGTGAGAAATAAATAAAATGACAAAGTATTGAGAGCTTAAAGAATAGTATATTCTTTTGAATTGCGTGAATCTGATGTCTTTACAAATAATTAGACCTCCATTTATATAGTAGAGTAGTTCTACTTATGGTATAATTTTAAATACAGTAAGAAATCCCATGATTGGCTAATTAACCGCCTCGTCTTGATACGTGCCGAGATTTTCGCCGTGATCCTCGCTCGATCACGGATGTTTCGACTTACCGTTACTTGACTAGGTAAACCCCCTTCGATCTCGCTCGATCTCCGTTCCGCTTGGTCTCGATCTTGGCTGATCTCGTCCTTGACCGGTCTCCGAATTAAGGGTTCAGCAATCTAACTCCGTACAGTTCAGCCTTGATATAACACGAGGCCGAACTGTGACCTATCATGATCCAACCTCGATTAGTCATAAGAAGGGCAGGCCCGTTCTGACCGTATACAGATAGTCCCCTCGTTTCTCAGAAATAAGATGATGAGAAACGACATGAATTCCCGAACTCCATCTTTTTGAGTGATGACGTCAGTGACGAGCTCGACCGTGACGTAAGCAACGAAATATCCCGTTGGTCCAGTTACCAAGGCATTAAATGCCTGTCAAGCGCTAGTCGGTCACTACCGGTTTTGAACCGTCGCCTTCAACCTTTAAAAACCTCAACCTTGTCTCATTCAAACTTTTACAATCAACGCCTTCCCTACTCTTGCTTTCAAAGAATCCTTACTTCATAATTTCCATATCCAAATTCCTTGAACCTAATCAACTCCCTTACTCTCTTATTTGCTTTTCACAGATGGCCAAAACTTCTAAAACTGTACCGCAAAAAGAGACTCCTTCTTCATCGCGCCCTGCCGGCAATGCGGTTGCGGTGAAGCCCCACCCTGAGGAATTCATTCCGACGGGGTGCCCAACCGTTGCCGACTTTAAGATAGAGAAACCCCCCTCGGTGTCGAGCCGGTGCGAGCCGATGTCGAGATATATGTGCACCATCACTGAGGACATACTCGATAAGGTCAAAGAGGAATGCAACTGGGAGAATAAAAATGTGGTCGTTCCCTCTCCTGAGGAATCGATCACCACCTACGTAAAGGGGTATCTAAGTATTTACACTTACCCCTTTACGTTTATCCCTTTGGATCCCATAATCATATCTTTCTGCAAAAGATACAACGTCACCCTAGGCCAGATCCACCCCTCGTTCTCGAG